ACACACACACACACACAGTCTCAACAGCAGATGAAACGGATGACTAAAATTGTGTGGTAGTGAGGGGGGAGACATGGAAAGGACATCTTATACTGGACACGTCTGCTTTTTAATGCTTTTGTGCGCCGTGTGTTGCTGGACGTCTGCATGTCTGACAGTGATGTGTGTTGACCTAGAGTCTGATGTAGAATTACTAATGCCTTTTTTCTGCCTCCGTCATGCCTATTTTTCACTTTTTCTCGTCACTGTCATTGTACATTTGCTTGTTTGTCACGGCACCTTTGGTGTGACCGAACAGCTCTGTTCTGTGAGATATCTCACTTACAGCTCATTCAGTTGAGCTTTTTCCCATATCATTTGTTTGATAGAGTTTCTCTTTGCCCTGGTTGTACATTTTTTTTCTACAGCAGGAACGTTGTTAGAGGCAAGGGACCGATGAATGTCTAAATGAAAGGAATTATTTGGCACCCAGTTTTCTGCCTGGGGGTATAATGTTATCTTGAAACAGAACAATTTACAACTTTAAACCTTGTATCGAAATGTAGATATAAAGGAGACACATCAAAGGACATTACTTGTTTTGACCAATCACCTAGTCAGCATGATCAAAGGACCTTTGACACTTTCCTCCAGTGAAATATGAGAAGAAAAGACAAAACATTCAGAAACATGTTTGTTTGTGTTAGACTATGTCATTGACACTAAACTGGCCCACTTCTGCTTGCACTGGGTGTAAAATTGATTTGCTTTCAGTTTTTAACAGCGACTAATGCCACGTTCCAGTTATCTCTTGGATGCTGGAAATCAGGAGTAAGCTTGTGCGTTTTGGTAGGATAGCTGGAAAAGTGAGGAGAAACAGGATTTGCTTCGGCTTTTGGAAAGGTAGAGCGATTTATGCATCACTAACAATACAACATAATGCATGTTTTTGTGCTTAAGAACACCACAGCAGCACGTTCATGGATAGAGCCTGGTCAGTGCTCTGGATGTGGCTTATTTTGTGAGTCACAAGAGTGCATACACAACAGTGGCAGTACAGATTAAAAGATCTTTAGTAAATAAACATATACTGTTAATTTGAAAATCCTACGTTGCCTCGTTTTCGGGTTATCGAATTCACAAACTTGAGTTAACGCGCCGCTTGCCATCCAGGCAGCGGGGCGATGACAATATCCTATAAGCCTTTTACAGCTGAGGGGTAAAAATGAATTAACTATGGAGGTATTACAATTATTATTTATCATATAGATTACTACTGTGTTAATTTTATGTTTGTCTTTTGATCACAGTGGATCAGTGGCTAGCACTGCTGCCTCACAGTTTACAGTTTTACCGCCACCATCTTGGACTGTTAACTCAGGATTGGTGGGGCTGCTCCGACTTTCCGAGTAAAAAGATCAGAAGGAACCTTCCAGATCAAAATTCTAACTGGGAATAAGAAAATTCCCACTTCCAAGACCTCAAAACGTAATATTTCCTTTACTTACTGGAAAAAATACATACTATATAAAAATAATATAAAACTATATAATAAATAATTTAGATCTATAGCCCACAAAAATACATGAAATAATGTGAAAGTAAAATTGTGCATGGCCAGATAAATATAAACCCCTTCCAGCTAATTTCTTTAAAAGATCAAGTCTTTAAAAGAAAGCAGAAACAGACTAAAAGCAGGAACCTTTTACTTCCTTTTACTTCCTGGGAGTAAAAGTCTTTGACAGTTTTAATGAAAAACTGGTCATTTACCATTTTTTTCCTATTACATTCTATATGTATATTGTGTTTTATAAATATTGTTAAATACTTTAAGGTCTCTATATTTTAGAATTATATTGAAACTTAAATATGCTTATTTTGTAGTATATGTTTGCAGTGTGTGCACGCTGATTATTCTCTATCAGTGAGAAACCTAAAAGCCTGTTAAAAATAATAAGTGAAACTTTATGAAAACGAAGACTTGAGCTCAAAGAACAACACAGCAGTCTGAACCGTCAGCAATTAATGCATTAATAAGATACTATAATGCAAAGAACTATTTTCATGGACACATCTGAAGGATGAGTCTGCCTTATTATAGTTAAAGAATTAAAGTTAGATTTTGTGTAAGGGCCAAAACCGAATTGAAACCAAAAAGCTCCCTTGTGTTGTGTTTTTGCAGCCTATCATCGAGATCAGAGATGTCAAAGGGACTGCACATTATGTTCACACACTTACAGCCCATGTTAATGTTGAGTAGGTCAGACAAAGAAATGGTGCTCTAGTAAAACAGAAATCTGTTGCTATGGCTGTTTGGGCTTAAACTCTGAGATATAATTGCCTAAAGTTACAGAACAAGTTGAGGGAGCATCACATTTTCCAAAGCTGTCCAGTCAGACAGACTGAAGTCTCTGCCAGGCTGATTTTTGCCCTCGGGCCTTATGCTTGACACACCTTGCTTTAGATGATGTGTCTTTTCCTCAAATGACACATCAAGAACTACAAACTACATCCCATTTCCTACTGACTGCCAGCAGAGGCTGATGCAGGTCACAATTTACACACTTGCCCGGTGCAGCCTGTCTACTCTTGCCCTGTACATTCAGTAGATGTGTGAGCACTTTTATATCATCAGAACATCTCTATTTATGTAGAGTGTATTATACAGTATGCATGTCTATAGGTCCACTCACTGGAATTTGGTCCAGACATTTTGGTCTCCAGTTCCTGGATCTGTTTAACCAGCAGAGAGATGTGCTGCAGCAGGTCTTTGTTCTGGAGGAGCAGCTGGTGGACGCGAGCCTGGGCCTCCAGCCGAGCCGTGGCCTCCGCACTCAGCTGGTCCTTCAAGAGATGGACCTGCAACAGAAGATGTGAGGGGTCAAGAGTCTGTTGACAAGCAGGGAGAAATGGATTCTCTGTAATGAGCGAGGCAAACCTAATCCAGCTCACAGAAACATTTTTTTCCCAGGCTGCTCCTCTTATCTGAATTCTCCAAACAAAACAATGTACTGCATCCCAGTCTGTGTGAAGACCAAGGCCAAACTGTGCTGACCTTACCAACACAATTTTCTCGTCTGAGAAATCAGCGGTGCGTGCTGTTTGCCGCAAATATTTCTTTAATGGCAACAAGAAAATACAAAAAGTTCATTTACATGCTTTGAATGAGTCCGTGTTGCAGCTTTTCTGAAGCTAATGACATGACTCAAGGTTGTTGTCATAGTAACGCATCTGCCTTTTTTTTCTTTTTCCTTTTTTTTTTTTTTAAATGTCTAAGCAGTTTTCCAGGAGCGAGAAAAGTAATGACAGTCAGAGGAAGAAGCTGAGAGATTTGACAAGCTAAAGAGAGCAGAACAAAATGCTGATGCATCTCCTTCCCCCAACACAGAAACCACTGAGTCTGAGCTCAACAAGAAAACTAGAATCAGTCAAACACCACGAGGGTAACAGCTTAAGAGACAGGGTGGACAGATTTTTAACAGCATCTGAATGTGCAGTCACTGCAAGTATCAAGCATGACATCTGGCTCTAAAACACTAGGCACACATGAAAAGAAGCCCGACTACATCTGAAACTGAATCCTTTTTTGTTTTGTGGTATATTTTGTCCTCATGTCATATACAAGTTCATTTTAATTACCCTGGAAAAGAGTGGACTCAAATTAAATATACTGCTTGAAAAACTTGAACGAACTCAGATCTCAATATTGAAAAAAAAAAAAAATCATGCTGCATATCTACACTTATATCGAGTGTAAGGTGTTAGGAATGAAAGGGTGACACATTGTTTGATGGAAACGAAAACGATCACCCTACAGAGTCAAAGACAGGTATGTAAAGCGATAAAATGATGTGGCAGGTTCGTCCATTTTGCAGGTGGTCCGAAACATAACATCCCAGAGGTTTTCTATTGGATTTAGGTCAGGCAAGCGTGTGTGGGCCAGTCAGTAGCATTAATACCTTCATCCTCCAGGAACTGCCTGCATACCCTCACCACATGAGGCTGATCATTGACATGAATCAGGAGGAACCCAGGGCCCACTGCACCAGTGTACCAGTACCAGTCAGGGTGCCGCTGGCTAACCTGTAGAGGTCTCGATATCCCTCTGTGGACATGCCTTTCCAGACCATCACTGATCCACCACCAAAACATTCCTAATGAACAATGTTGCAGGCAGCGTAATATTTTCCACGTTTTGTAGCTCTGGCAGTGCTCATCCTGTTCCTCTTGCACAAAGGGGCAGATACTGGTCCTACTGATGGGTTAAGGATTTTCTACGGCCCTGTCCAGCTCTCCTAGGGTACCTGTTTGTCTCTTGGAATCTCCTCCGTGCTCTTGAGACTGTGTTAGGAGACACAGCAAACCGTCTAGCAATGGCACATATTGATGTGCCATCCTGGAGGAGTTGCACAACCTCTGTAGGGTCCAGGTATTGTGTGATGCTCCCAGTAGTGACACTAACCCTAGCCAAATGTAAAACTATAGAATTAGTCAAAACTAGTCAAAAAAGATGAGGAGGAAAAAAAACATCAGTGGCCGTCACCTTTAAAACCATTCCTGGTTCGAGGGTTGTCTCATTGTTGCTGCAGATGTTGTTCATTTCATTAACACCAAAGCAGCTTGAGAGTGATTAACAACAATATCCCATAAGTTTACGTTTATGAATGTATAAATCTGCAAAACAATCGTCTTTGGTCTGGCAGAATATAATACCATACAAAAGTACACAATGCACTATAATAACTTTAAAGACAGTATTAAAAATGCCAGATCAACACTGTGTTGCTTTCATCAGTGGGCTCTCTGCTTTTATGTATTCAGTTGTATCTTTTTTATATTTTTCTCTGTATTTTGGCACCGTTTTGTTAATAAACTGGGTTGAATTTTAGACTATATAAAAAAACTACAACAAAAACGATGGATTATTATTTCCACTGAGAGCTTGAGTTTTATCACAGATGAGAGAAACGTGGATAAAATTCTTGTAATTAAAATATACTCTCATGAAATACAATATGAACTTTGAGCCTAAATACAAAGTGGATTTGTCTCCAGTTATGTTGGCTAATGTAGCGCGTGTGTGGGCCATCTTCTAGTAACTACACCGATTGTGAGATGAGAGGCTCAGAGGATGTGAGCTTAGGAGATGGCAGCGATTGATCGATCGCACCATATTTTCAGTGTTTTCATTAATTAAAGTTGCAGAGGGAAAGAAGAACAAAACAGCAAACCAACTAAATCCTCTGAGCGTTTTTCAGTCAGAAGCAAATTAAGTAATCAGCGAAAATCTTTGGGGATTGTAACGTTGTTTTCAGTTTAAGATTTTGGTGACCACTTTCAGAGCTCTTCATTTGTCACATTCCTCTTTATATTGCTGTTAACATTTACATCCATACGCCACTACTAGGCCAGCTGACTGATGTTTGTTGGTGGCACCTGGGTCCAGATCAAAGACAAAAGGAAACGGTGCTTTTGAGTTTCCGGCTCCCAGGATGTGGACTTTGCTTCCGTTGGACTGGAGATGTGTGGAGACTGCTGGCACTTTTCAAAAGAAGCTTAAAACCCACCTGTGCAGGCTTTCTTTTATTTACTTTGATCCATTTATACTCTTGTAACTGGTGTATGTCATTTTATACTGGAAAACACAAAATAAATAAACCTTACTTGCTTCCTACATGTGGAATCAGTTAGTAATTTGAAACATGTCACCTTTAGATGTGGGAAACTGTGATGGGCAGTGTTTTTAGTTTATTTTTTTTTACCAGTTTCAGACCAATTTTATTACTTTTAATAAAATTAAGCATGATGAAATATTCCAGCTTTGACTCTACTTTCTGATACTTGATCGCCTTCTATTAAATTATCTAAAAATTTTAAAGAAAAAAAAAACACCCAGACAGAACATTAGTGATAGATGCAACCTCTTTGTGCTGTAATTACAGCGGCTTTATCTTTTATTACAAGACGAATGTTGCTTGTTGCAGCTCTGATCCTCATGTAACCTTAATGCAACAGCCTGCTGTGGCCCGCGAGATTAAAGCACAGACTCGATTTCAATTTAAGACTGAACGGCTCAACTTCTTTTACACTTTGAATCGGGGATATAAAAGGAGAGGAAGGGGAGAAAGAAACTGTTCAGTCGGTGCACAGATGTCCGCACACACACACACTCACACACTCTCATAGCTTTTATAGCAGCAATGACTCTCCGTTCTGACTTCAAAGTACTCTCCAAATCAAATGTTGGTCCCACCTCCCACCCTGTTCTGCCATCTCCTATCCTGAGCACGTATTTGCTTTCAACAGTTTCAAAGGAGAAATTCTCAAGGTTTCAAATCACAAGAAAGGTTCAGTAGAGGCCCACTGTGTTAAAGGAGACCACTTATTAATGATTTTCTGACAGCAGAGGCGACGTGGCTCTCAATAATTTGATTAAGCTTAACTCTGGAGTTTGAACATGGTCCAGCGGTGCTTCAAACATCGGCTGTTTAACAGGCAAAAAGGAGCCGAACAAAAAAAAAAGGGTGAAACACCCTTTTACCCAAAAATTCTGCACGGATGTGGAAAACGTTTTAATGTTAAACAGCGACAGTTACGTGGTTTCTTGCCTTTTTAATAGCTTCTTGTCAGCGTACATGTAAGAAGCTTAATCAATACCAAAGTGATTGCAAGCCGTTTCCCTTACAATCCTAGGAAACCAGCTGGGGTGAAGGGCTCACGGTGTATTTTCAGAGCAGTGTGAATGACAGGGCCTCATGTGGAGGTGCAAGTTACTGAAACTCCTAATCACTCCCTTAGCTTCTAATTTGAGCTTGATGCGGTAGCGCAGCACTTGTTACCGTGGTAGCACGAAGGCTCTTGGCTGTTGACGTCAATGCCTCCACGTGTCAAAGAAAGGAAGGAAAAAACTCTACAAAACAAACTGTAATTAGAGTTACCAAGGCCACTCTAGCACCTATGAAACGCAGCTATGCACTACAGAGGAATCCTCTATTCACTATTGCATTTGCAGTGCTCGTGTTGCAGATTTTAATGAGAACACAACAAGCTCATGTACCGAGGTCCTTTATAATATTTTGTCTAACTTTAATTCTTTCTTGTCATGACAGCTAAACATTTTTAGCTAACTTTTTGCAGATGCTCCAACATCTGACCAAGTGATAGCTTTTTGGTCATCGATGGCAGTCATACTTTGTTAATGGTTACTGTTGCTGCTAATCAAACTAACACATAAGTTAACCATCACTTATGGTCATGAGCTTTGGGTAGTGACTGAAAGATTGAGGCTGCAGAAAGATGTTTCTTTGAAGAGTGGCTGGGCTCTCACTTAGAGACGGGGTGAAAAGCTCAGTCATTCAAGAGAGACAACAGCAAAAGGAGCCAACTGAGGTGGTTCAGGCACCTGATAATGATGTGTCCTGGAGGCCTACTAGGAGAGGTATTATGGACATGTCCTACAATGCTTCCCACTGTTTTAGTCCCTTTAACTTATAGTTAAAGGGATTAAAACAGTGTTTTTAATTTAATGTAATTGTATAGTTATTTCTGTTGTAAAGTTGAGTGTTTTGACATGTGAGGCCATGAGGAGTGACTCCCTGTCTAATCCTGGTTTAAGCGCCCATTCGAGGAGCTGCGGGTTCTGCTTTTTTTAAATTTTACACAGAGATATGGTCATTTTATGGAAAATTGGCTTGTCTTATTATGGCTCTGTTTCTACATTTTGTGTGTCGTTTTCTGTTTTCTTATTTACTCCTCCTTGCTACTTTTCTGCATTAGACTGACTCATCACTCCTTTGTCATTCTAATGAGGAGGCAGTGGGGCGGAGAGATCCATCCCTCCTCCTCTCCCACATTCACTG